GGGGCAAGGTGGGGGTGGATGTGTGCGGGCGCTCCAACCAGTATCATTGCAAGTCAAGAGCGCGTACTGCGCACCCCCAAAAAGTTCCCCGAATATCTCTCTCTCTCACACACACACTCACTCTAACTCTCTCCCCGAAATAGTCCTTTTGTACAATAGCCTATGAGGAAGTTGCCCGATAAGAGGAACAAAAAGAAGGTAGCATTGAGGAGGAGGCGTGGCGTAGCGCCGTCCCTAAACAAAGAAGATGAACGACAGTCTAGCAGAGGTTAGGGTTAGGATGCGTGTCGTTAGATTTCAAGCAGTTTAGAACGGGCCTATGCATCTAGCACCTTGGTACCACCTATACCAAAGTTCATTACGACAATTGAGTCATTATCACTGAGTTAAAATAGTACCAATGCAATATGTCCGTACACTAACCTAAACAACGACACCGGGACGGTTTTAGAGGATTGTATACACTTACCTTTCCGAAGCCAAACTTTGGAGAAGCACCTTTTGACACAAGATGGTTACGCCGGTCTGGCATGGACTCAATTTTCCTTTAAAATTTCTACAAAACTTGATTCACTATCACACATCCACTTGCGACAGAACACAGTATGGTCGCCGGCGTTCTGATTTGTTTAGGGACGGCGCTACGCCACGCCACCTCCTCAGTGCTACCTTCTTTTGCACGGTTTACTGGCTACGATTGTCATTTATTGACTACGTTCTAGTGGGTTTTCGAGGCCTCTGATTGGCTGATTTTCAACGAATCTCTCACACTCAAGTCCGTTCGGTTTGCCCTCGAGTGACATGTGTTGCCTCTCTGTCGCAGATTCCGGTGCGTGAGTGCGAGGGACGGCATCCCTGCCTGTGCATCATCTGGCCGCCCCCTCGGCAACTCTGTCGCAGCAGTTACAGCTGATGTGCCTTCGCCCTGGACTGGAAAAAAACAACAAAAGGAGATCATCATGTGCCGTTTCGTGTTGAACGACGTATTCACAAAGCTGCGCCCCGTGACGGTGAGCGCGGTGTGTGTACAGGGTGTCCCATGGGCCCCGTAACCAAAAAGGCTTGTACTGGGCCTATGGGACACCCAGTACAATACTGTGAGGAGAAAGAAAATGAGCACTCCTGATTTCACGTGACTTGCCACAGTCGCGCGCCCCAGTCCCCCCGCTGCTCCCAGTCACCCCTCCTTCTGTTCGGAGGTCCAATATCCAACTGTGGAGATGTGTCGTGTGCAGGTTTATTCGTGATATGGTTTAGATTCTTCTGAAAACTATGTAAACTTGTTCACTCCAGAAAATGTTGGTCTGAAAAATATTTTTCTCAAAAATAGCATTGCGTTCCTATGGCGCCGTTTTCATTATTTTTTCCATTTGTATTTCTGTTTTCCATTTTACAATGACGTCGATTGTACAAAAAATATATATACAAAAATATAAAAATAATAAAGTGAAAGGATGAGAAATGTTTTCTTAACTTAACTTAAGATGTATGACAGTGAGGTGAAATGGAAATGGCGGTGAAACAGTATGGACTTCCCTCTCTTCAGCTTGCGCTTTACACGGAAAGCACAAAGAAAGTGGAGGCATAAGTAAGTCCCATTGGAATGTCATGCAAAAGATGGCGATATGACACACAATAAAGTTGTGAAGAGATGGAGATGCGAGACACGAGGCAGGTAAATCACAAACTCATCTTCACGATGAAGACTAGGGCGCAAGGGCGCTACCCACCCGGGTGCCGTCCGCCTCACGGCAGCCCTGTTCTGTCGTCAATGTCAAAGGGGAGGACCCAAAAATATATGCTGCTGTGAAATGGTAGAATTTTGCCTAAAATAACCGGCGTAATGCAGCGCAATACGGAGTAGTCTGTACACCAAAACTCTACAATTACGGACACAAAAAAATGCTCTTTATCTGAAGCAAAACAAATCTTGTTCCTTTTCTGTATTTGTACTTCGCAGAGATTTGGCATTTGAGAATTCCGTTTAAGCACACTTAGAGACCATTTTTTTTTTGTGATGTGGTTTATCCCTGGCGCCCAGAAAGATGCCAAACTGCTTCACCAAGTGGAGCAGCTGACTCTTCCACGGTGCACAGGATTCCGTTCGAGCCTCCGGATAAGAAACAAAATGACTAAGCAATACTAGATAGCTACAACAGTCCTCACCACTGTAGTAAAAAGCATTGACGCTTAATATGAGAAAAAACTTGCAACATAGAAGCACCAAAATAGCTTATAAAATGTAACACTTTGCACAAAACTTGGTATCTTAGGGTTCAGATATCACAATAAGGTCCGAGGTAGGTATTGCAGGTCCTGCTTAAAGAGTATGTGGTTCAAATAATATGAAGTTTCTTGCTCAATTGGAACGGCGTGCAGGATGCACGCCGTGGCAGACTTTCAATATCGGACCTCCCCTTTATTTGCCTTATAGTAGAGAGAGAATTGATACGAATATAATCCGTGGGGCAAGACAATAGGGAATCGGCACGAACAGCAAATGGGCTTTACCCAAATCTGCTATCTCTATCCCTCTCCCTCTCTCTCTCACACACACACTCATACACACATACACAGATACACACACGCACACACCACTATGGCTGACTGTCGCGAGATGCAGCGCGAGGATGGCAACATTCCGACACACATGCGATTACGGTGCCGATATCCAATATCTCCAACAGACGGCTCTCTCAATGCCGGGCTGAGGGGGTGGGGGTGG